ACGTGCTTCGACATCGGATCCTTGAGATCGCGATCAAGAGAAATCCTGGGCCTCTCGATCTTGCACAAGACGCGGGTCGCCAGGGCAACGTTCTTCTTGGCCTGTTTGGCTTTCTCTTGCTCGAGCTTCCTCTGTTTCGCCTGCAGGCCCTTGTCATTCTCAGACTTCGAGTCCGAATCCGAATCCGAGGTCGAGGACGCTGCGCGCTTCTTGGACTTCTTGTCCTTCCTGTCGCGCTTGTCCTTCTTGTCGGCCTTCTTGGATTTCTTGGACTGCTTCTTGGATTTCTTCTGTTTCTTCGACTTCTTCCCCTTCTTGCTGCTCGTCTTGCTCGAGCCGCTTTCCGAATCATCTGATTCGCTCTTGCCTGGAGCTGGCTGCGTCGGCTGCGTCGGAGGCGGCGCCTTCGCCTTCGCTTTCAGCTCCTGCACCTCGGCGCGGGCGAGCTGCTCGATCGTTTTCGAATAGCCACCCCTGATGTCCACGCGGTAGCAAGTTCCGAGGATCTTGTGTTCCTCGGTGTCCTTGCACTCCTTCTCGATGCGTGTAACATCGAACCCACGCTGGGCGTAAACTGACAACGGCAGATACTCCCCGCCCACTTGGGCAACCTCCTGCTCGATCCGAGTCGTCGTGAGAGTCTGGACGAACAGCTCCTCGAGCTGATCCTTACCAGCCTTCTCCTTTGCATCTTGCCAGAACTTCGCTTGCACTGAGGAGTCAAGCCTCCTGAAGCTGGCAGGTGGCCACGATCCGAACAAGCGGGACAACTGCGTTCCGCGCGTGTTGCACTTTTCGCACTTCCACGAGCCCTGGCCTTTCCCAATCAGTGGTGCCCTCAAGACATCGACCTCTTGCTTGCACCTGTAGCACGTTGGGTTCGACGGCTCGTGCTTGACCTCAGGACCTTGCCAGACGAAGACCTCGCCTGGAGTGGGAGTCGGCTTGAGCACCGGGGGAGAAGCCTTGTCTGCCACCTCCTGAGTCGGAGTCGGCGAGCAGGCGGCGTCTTCGACGGCAAGCGGTTCGGACGAGGCAGCGGCCCCCGACGAGGCAACATCGTCGCCTTCGGGCGCATCCTCGAAGTCTCCCAAGTCGGCCACCTCAGGAGCTGCGAGCGCCAGCGTCGTCGCCGTCGGGCTATCGGCAGCCTCCGAGCCAGAGACAACCGACCCAGGCGACTTGAACTTTGTCCACCAAGCAACTGTTGCGTCATTCGCCATCTCGACGGTGGCCGTCTTGCTCTTCGACTTGGCCTTGGCTTTGGCCTTGCCCTTGGCCTTAGCCGTCGGCACGGGCGCCGCGGCAGGCGGTGGCATCAAGGCCAACTGCAGCGACATCGGAACCGCGAGAGGCGAGATGGGACACGGGGGCGCAGAAGCAAGGAGCCCGCGCGCGTTGCCCTGCAAGCACAACGGCTGCGGATGGAGGAGAGGAGGATGCGGTACGTGGAGAGAAAAAAACAACTGGTCCAGAACACGATCTGTGCAAATGTTTTCCCCTGGAGGTACGCGAAGGCGCGGAGAGAAGAGAAGAACGGATCCTATCGAGTCGCGCTTCGTTATAGCAGAACGGTTTCAATCGAGACGAGGGAGGGGTAAGATAAACGGAGTACCACGCTCAGTGTGCCAGAGGAAAAGGAGGATTTGTTTCGATTTCATTCGCACGCTCGGTTTGAGCTTCAGGGCGGGCGAAGGTGGATGTCCAAGATGGCGGGCGGCAAAATATCTGAAACCGCGGAGGAGGGCGATGACGGCCGATGACATCCGATAAGCCCGATAACATACCGATAACATCCGATAACATCCGATAACAACCGATAACATACCGATAACAGTTATCGGATGTCGCGCTAACATGCGATAACATCCGATAGCGATCACCGATAACACCCGATAACAACGTTATCGGATGCAATTTCGGCTCCGATAACCGTTATCGGACGTTATCGGACGTTATCGGACGTTATCGGATGTTATTTTGATGTTATCGGATGTGGTTTCGTTGCCGATAACATAGCGTTATCGGCGTTATCGGTTGTTATCGGTCGATCCGATAACATCGTTATCGAAACGTTATCGGTCGTTATCGGTTGTTATCGGTCACATCGTTGAGTAGCGAATGATCCGCTGTATGGCGGTCGACCCGCCGATGCCCTTCCCTTGGCGGATGATCCGCCGATCAGCGAGTGAACCGCTCGTGACAATGATCCAAGATGATGAGCGCAGCGACGAGGAAGGTGTGCTGGTGTTCCCAGCAAAGATTCGGCGTCCGAGCCCGCGAATGAGCACCCGACGTGGGCGTGCTAAGCGAGGCGCCGACGCGCGTGGCCAAAACCTGAGCTCCGCCAGCAGCCTAGCGCAGGGGGAGCACGCGCGTCGGCTGGACGTACGACTCGATCACCTCGACGCACTGCTGGATGCACGTGACCTCCTCGTTGAACGCCCGAGCCGCTTTGGCGCAGAGGTTGGCCGCGCTCTCCGCCGAGACCTTGGCACGCTTCAGCGAGTCGACGCAGGCCCTCACCTGCATCTCCGAGAGCGTGATGCGACCCGTGCCAGCACCCGTCGGCGGCGCGCTGATGGCGGGCTCCGCGGTGGGCTGCCACGGCAAGCTCTTGCGCTGCTTCTTCTGCCACCTGTCCTGCTCCTCGGCCCACTTCTTCTTGTCGACCTCCCAGGACTCGATCAAGTTGAAGTCGACGGCCGATTCAGCCTCGGAGCGCTCGAGCTCGTGGTAGGGCGACGTCACCAAGTGATGGATGATCGACTCCACGGCATCCTCGTACGAGTGGCACGACTTGATGGTCGCCGAGCGCTTGCTGCACTGCGAGCCAAAGGGGCACTTCCCACCCCACATGATCCACGTCGGGCTTCCGTCGTCAGCGTGCGCGGCAGCAGGCTGGACATCAGCGGAGGAGGACGCAGCGTCCGACATGGATGCGGAAGCTGGCGGCGACGGGCGGCCCACGTGCGCTTCGCGTTCGAGCCAAAACGCCTATACAGAAAAAACGGTGCGAGAGCATGTGCGTGGCGAACACACAGGCGGGTAAACCGCCATGGCGGGTGAGCCGCCGAGGAAGCACACGCGTGACGCGCGCGCAGCGACACTCGTGCACACACAGGCGGATAAACCGCCATGGCGGATGAGCCGCCGAGGAAGTACGCGTATTTTTTTCCAAGAACAATAGCGCGCGTCACAGGAAGGGCAACGGCCCGCGCCCGCTGGCGTCCTGCGAATTGGTCGCCCGCCGCTTAGGCCTGCGATGCGGCGACGGCGTCCGAGGCGCGGGGCGCTTGGACGTGGGCTGGAGGACGTTCTTGACCACGTGCGCGTCCTTGCCCTTGTCCGCGCCCTTGTGGCCGCCCTTGCTCTTGACGGCCGTGCCCTTGCGAACGCCCTTGTCGGAGCCCTTGTCCGTGTCCTCGTCGGAGCCCTTGCCGTGCTTGCCAGCAGTGCCCTTGCTGGAGACCGCCTCCTTGCTCTTGCCCTTGGCCGCGGGCCGCGCGATCGGCACGGGCGCGACCATCTTGGGCGTCGGGCGCGCCTTGCTGGTCGGAGGGTCGACCGTCGGCAGCACCATCCTCGGCTGGTGGGCCTTCGGTGGGGCGGCCATCATGCGCGCGACCGCCTTGGACTTGCTCGCGCGAGCGGCCTCGTCCTCCTGGAAGGCCTGGGTGCCTCGCTCCATGCCGAACTTCGCCACGAAGCTGTCTTGCCGCAAGCTGCGGCGTCGGTCCTCGTCCTCGAGGAAAGCCTCCGTGCCTCGCTCCTTGCCGAACTTCGCCTGGAACTCGGCAAGCCGCACGCTGCGGCCGCCGCGGGAGCCCCACCGACCGCTGTTCTGCCTCCAGGCTTGGCCCCTCCACTCCGTGGGCCCTCCCTGCAATGGGCCAGGGGGACCCCGCTGCCTGAATTTCTTGTGGCACTGGAACTCCAAGATCAGCGTCTTCTCGACGTTGATGACGGCGGGGTCGTTCCAGTCCACGGAGAGCGGACTCATCACCATGAGCAAGGCGATCCGCGCGAACTCTGGATCCCGCAGCATGAGCTGCTGGACGCGTTCCGCCGCGCCGTCGGGCATGGGCGCGTCGCCCGCGGAGTTCGCGTCGCCTTCACGCAGGACGTTGTCGACCGAGCGCTCCAGAGCGTCGACGTCGACGACCTGCTCTCGAGGGCGAACGGGGCGATCGACCTCCACCTCAAGAGTCGCCGACGCAGCAGAGCTCGAAGCAGCAGCTGCAGGCTCCTCCAGCGGGGTGTCGCGGACGTCCGCAGCCTCCACGTGGCCAGAGTCCTCGAGCACCTTCCTGAGGCAGCCGATCACGTGCGACCTCTCGGCGTCCATCTGATCGAACGCACCGTCGGCCTCTTCGAAGAAGCTCTGGAGGTCCTCGAAGGCGGACCTCTTCGGCGCCGCCATGGCGCCCTGCGCGCCGAGCCCGCCGCGCGCGCCCGCGCGCGCCCCTGCGAGCGCAAACGGCTACGGCATCGAACGCGCATGAACCTCCATTTTTGCCCGTTCTGGTCCAGAACCGCTACCGTTCTGGCCTAGAACCGCCACCGTTCTGCCCCTGTGGCTTCGATTCAGAGCGGGGGCGGTTCTGGACCAGAGCGGCGGTTCCCTTTTCACTGGCAAACTTCTGCTCGGTCTCATCCCTTCCTAGTCATGCCATCCCTCCATATTCCTGCTCAGACCTCCCTGCCCCGACCTGGCACAACGTGGTAAGTAGCGGATGATCCGCTGAAAGCGGTTGACCCGCACTTTTTTCAACGCCTTTTCTTTCAAAGCAGTGGCGCGCATAGAGGTGCAACGAGTTCACAGAAGAACGAGCTTCATCACGAGCGCAACGCGCGCCAGGCGAAGAAACCAAAAGCCGATGCCATCCGTAGCACTACCCACGTCATGGCAAAGTGCTCATACTGACGGCCATCCGTCGGCATGGCTGCACTGAATATGGCACGCGTCGTGCCGACAGCTACGCGTAGCCGTCACCCCCTCAGCCGACGCGCAGCCGATTCTCGATCCACTGCTTGGCGGCCTTCTTGGACGTCTCCTTCGTGTAGCCTGTGTTCGGGCCCCATTTGAACACCTTGGTCGAGCCAGGGCCCCTCCCGTAGTGCGCGACGCACTGGCTGCGCGTGTTCTCCACGCTGATTTTGGTCACCACCGCCGCCTTGCCAACAGGTGCCGACGCTGGTTTCTTCAGCACGCATGTCTTGGCAGCGGGCTTCGCCTTGGCCTTCGCTTTGGCCTTGGTCTCCTTCTCCTGCTGCATGGCAGCGTGTACCTGCATGGCCGCTGCTTCCACAGAGTCCACCTTCTTCGCTTTCTTCGCCTGCGGGGCCCCTCCTGCAGAGGCACCCGCCGAGTGGGCGTCCTCGAGGGCGAACTGACTGGGCTGAGGCTGCGGCGGCTGATGCTGCTGCTGCTGCTGCTGTTGCAGCTGTTCCTGGAGCTGCTTGACCTGCAATTGCAGGTTGTAGTTGTCTTGCTGCTGCTGCTGCAACTGCTGCTGCTGCTGTTGCTGCGGGAGGTCCGTTACCGCGAGCTGCCCTGCGGCCGACGTCGCAGCCGCTTGCACGCCAGCGAGGCTGCGCGGCTGCTTCCCTGCGAACGTCAACACCGCACCGTTCGCGAGCCTCTCTTGCTGAGGCTGCTGCAGCGTCTGACCCATCATATTCTGCAGAGCCTGCAAAAGTGGCGCCGACGACGCGGACCCTGCGCGCTGCCTCTCGCGCCACTTGAACGATTTAGCCACCACGGAGACATCGACGAAAGACACTCCGATGCTCGCAGGACCACCGCCGCCGTACGCAGAGGCCCACGTGGCGGGGAACGCAGCTCGGAACGCGTCGGGGTCAGCTGGGAGCGCGGCCATCTTCTCCAAGGGCTCTGCCTTGACCATGCCCTTCCACATCGTCTTGATGTGGTCAAAGGTGTCTTTCAAGAAGTGGGGGCTCATGCTGCGGGCCGCTGGGGCCCCATCTACGCAGATCGTCACGAGGGCCGTCACGTGCGCGAGGGTGCCTTCTGACGGGTTCTTGAGGCCCAGCTTCGACGAGAGAAACGACAGAACAGACCGAGCCTTGTGCAAGACGTCCCCATGGGGGTCGCTGAGCACGGCCCACACTTCACCACTCAAGAAATACGGGAAATGCTCGAAGTCCTGCGACTTCCACGCCCCGCCGCTGCTCGAGGCTGCCGTGGCCAAGGCGTTCTGCAACAGCTGTGCGTCGGCAGGCGCGAAGCCGTCTTGCTGCGCCAAACCCGCGAGACGAATGAGCAACTGGCCCTGCGGGCGCACCAATCCGACGAGCTCGACCAGCCGAGCAGCCTGTGCACCCGACGCCTGCTTCCACGCGGCTTCGCCCTGGTCCCTCGCAGCGCGCAGTAAGGGGCCCACCCCCTCGGCGCGCTGAAGGAGCTCCTGCTGGAGCGCCATTCTCGTGCAGGAGACGCGCCGCCGCCCCGCGGCAGCCCGAGCCAAAAGGGGCTGCGATAAAAGGCTGCGATGAAAGGCGGAAAAGGCTGCGGATGGGGGGGGAAGAGGGAGGAGGCGAGTGACCCGCCGACAGAAGATGGCGTAGAGCCGCCCGAGAACGCGGCTGATCCGCAAGATCGAAGGATGGGGGGCGCGCGGTTGATCCGCGGAAGGGGTGGGGAGGGGAAATGCGGCTGATCCGCAGAATGAGAGCATGCGGATCAGGAGGAAAGAAAGCGGTTGATCCGCCGCAGCATGCAAAGATAAGGAAGGCGGTGATCCGCCGAAGAGGGATGAGGAGGAGGATCAAGAAGGCGGTAATCCGCCGAAGAGGGAGGAGGAGGAGGAGGAGGAGGAAGGCGGTAACCCGCCGAAGAGGGACGAGGAGGAGGATCGAGAAGGCGGTAAGAGGGATGAGGAGGATCGAGAAGGCGGTAATCCGCCGAAGAGGGATGATGAGGAGGAAGGCGGTAATCCGCCGAAGAAGGATGAGGAGGAGGATCAAGAAGGCGGTAATCCGCCGAAGAGGGAGGAGGAGGAGGAGGAGGAGGAGGAGGAGGAGGAGCAGGAACATATGGAGGAGGAGTTTTTTTTGGCGTAACCTGACAAACGCTCAACGATCATCAAGCAAGCGCGCCCAGAAAACACGCACAACGCAGGCAAACCGCAGGTCCAACCAGCAGACGACGCCAACCAAAAAAACTGGCGCCCTTAAAAAAACAAACATCCGAACAAACACCTAGACTTATTCGACTTATTAAGTTGGCTAATAAGTGTATATATGTGTGTAGTTAAGTCTCTGTTAGCTACATGTTATGTGACATATTAGTATGTATGATGTTAACTATATGTACTACAAGCTACAACAACTCTGTCGGCCATCCAAGGAGGGGGTCTGGGTCCGGAGAGGGGCGGTATCGGTACTTTTTGGGTTCGCCACTGTTCGGCCTCCTGGAGGCCGTCGCTGGGGCCTGCGGGATCCCGTCACGAAGCGGCTCGAGGATGTGGAGCCAGCCCCGGGGAGAAAGGGTCGGGAAGTCTGGGGACCGGTGTTGGAAAAACCAAGGCACTGGTCGGCCACGCGCAGAGGGGTGTAGAGTCGGTGCGCTGAAGAAGGAACCCTTTTCGTTGGGGAGAGGCTCGGTGTTCCTTGTTTGTTCCAAAGTTTACCTCGGGTTTTCCCGAAGTTTTCCATGGGAAATCGAGGTTGAACTTATGGGAAAAAGGGGCCTCGTTCCTTATTTAGGGTTCCTTAGGTCAACGCCCCGACTGTAGGGGGAGGGGGGAAGGCTTCTTAGAAGCACCCCTGCTTCTCAGAAGCGGCGGGACTTGTCTGTAGATGTACAGCCTGCGCCTTCTAAGAAGCAGTCTCTTTCTAAGAAGCCTCCCCCCCTCCCCCTACCCCCCTCCATGTGCGCGCCGCCAGATCGGATGTCTGAACTCAGGTCTGCGACGGTAATGACTGATTCTGTCCCAGCGAAGCTGTTTCTCGCTCTCGGCCTCATCGGGCCTGGGGACCATCTCAAAAATATCAGGGAGGCAGAGATACCCCTGGGTAAGGGGTGGAGACCCCCTGTGGGGCCGCGGGTGTGGTCCTCTGTGCTGCCCAGGTGGGCTCCGAGCAGATGGGGTCGGAGGGCTGCGCCGCATCGCCGCTGCATCGGCGATGCGGCCCGATGCGGAGCCCCATTCTCTCCTCGCCGACGTCGCTGGTGCATCGCTGATACATCGCCGCTTGGGACGCGTGCCGATTTTTCTTCCCGTGAAGCAGGCGGGTGCTGAGGAAGCGAGTCCTCCTGGAGGTGTTCCACCGTCCCCGGGCTCGGGGGCCCTCCACGAATCCCGGGATCGTTGAGAGACGAGTCGGCATGAAGAGCTGGTCCTGGCTCTCCTCCTCGCGCTCCTCTCCAACCTCGCTTCCCCGGTTGATTTTTGATGCTCTTTGCGGTTGATCTTTAGTTGTCGCCCCGCTCTGTGATCTAATCCAGGCCTCCGCTTGCAGCTCTCTGATGACTGTTGAGGGGACCAGCGCCGATTGTGGACCTGCGTTGCCGTCGGTCCGACCACATCATCGGGACAAACAGATGAAGAGCTGGTCTTGCGTGGGGGCGAAGGCCCCCCTGGGTTCGGGTCCCGTTCCCTTCGGGACCCGCCCCGCTCATGCCACGCAGTGCTTCCCGAGCAAGCAGGTGCGTGCTCACTGCTCTGCTGCTCGGCGCACCGCCAGGGAGGGCAGATGCCCTCGCCGCCGAGGGCTGGAACCCCACGGGGGCTCGAGTCGGCGGGCCACGCGTACACTTCCATCGCTCCCAGGCAGCTCGAGAGCGAGGGCGGCGGCGGCCTCGCCGCGGGCGTTCGGGGTGGAACGCCGCCGTCGGCACAGAATCGGTCTACGTGGAAGGACTTGGCGGTCGGAAAGCCGCCGATCGCTGAAGGTGTGGCGACCCGACGAGGACAGCCAGCGGCAGGGGACCACGTCGGGGCCGCAAGGGAGCACGAGCCCGCCGCACCGTCGGCCGTGCCATGGCGTTCCGCTCCGCGCCTGCACCACTTCGGGGAGCTCCTCGGCGCTCGCCCGACGTCGGGCTGTTGGGGCAGACGCCCACGGATCGCCGATCTGTCGGCGGTGTATT